AATAAATTTAATTTCTCGATCTAAAGTAATAAATTGCAACTTGGTGTCATTACAGAACTAAGGCAACTAGGTAATTAATTTGAAGTCAACTACTCACTTTTGTTATGGTTTTTAATTAATGTTGTCGCATGTGTATAGCAGGTGACTGCTTTTATATAAAGATTATGTATTTTATATAAATTATTCAGCTTTTGGTATTTACTTAGATTTTCTGTTTGTGTATAAAAGCTTGCCAGTTTGATCTTCAGTTAAAAAATATTTAGTGGCTCCCTAGTACCTGGCATCAAGCTTACCAAAGGAATCAAAAAGAAAGATTCTTTCCCTGGAAAATGCTTCCTTCTTGGATTTCTTTCTCCCTTTCCTCCTTCTTCCTTTACATACTTATAGTGGTTTACAAGAATGATCAATACATTATTTAAAACACAAAGGAAACAAGATGAAGTATCAAAAGGGTTGGAAAATATAGTAAAGGCATGTTAGAGCCATTGTATATACCTAGAGATCTTCTACACTTATTCATGGTGATTACAAATTTGTCTCTCAGTTTCCTAGAAACCCTAGCAAAGGGAGGAAAATGCTACCATTTTTATGATTCATAATCCTATAAGATGCTTTTTTTGGTTGCTAATGAGAAACATTAATAAGAAAGCACAACAGTTACTTTGTAGAGAAGAAGCAGATCCTTAAATGAGGTTGTTCTTATTAAAGAAGGAAGAAACCCCAGGGACTACAGGGGCAGTGAAGCAAGAGGGTAAAGAGCTCATGGGGCAGGGAGGTGAGTCAAGGGTAGAAGGAAGCTACAGTTAAAAAGAACTAAGGTATAAAAGGAACTTTTACTCTGCTCCAAGTCTGGAGGCATTATCTTGAGAAACCTCAAAGTGCAAGTTTATATACATATGGACTTTCCTTCACCTGTTTATCTCCTGCTGGAACATTGTACTCTCTGGAACTTAAAAAAAAATTGATTGAAAAAATTTCTTAGAAAGCAGAAACTTTCAAATTGCAATAAACAGCAAGGCAAAAGACAGAAACCTGAGCAGCATTTAGGGATCACACTTGGACTGAGGAAAACCACGTCAGCGGGGAGAATCTGGTAGTTAAACAACATCAAAAGCATGGCTGTCTCTGAAGTCAGACATTAAGTGTTTCAGGGCTGAATTAAGCAGGGTAAGGCACCAGCAAGGCTCATACCCCAAATGTAAGCCAAAGATGTTCCACAGGCTATCTGCTGCAAAATCACCAAAGCCAGTGTTTCCATTTCTCTTTCTTCAACCCTTCAAAAAAAAAAAAAAAAAAATGCAGCTGCCTCCTCTGGAGCCTTGAGGAGGAAAACACAGACCAATAAAACAGATCAGGTGGGTGTCAGATTGTCTGGAAAGAGGCAGCCTGTTGACTGCTAAGTTGGCCGACACTATTTAGCAAGGGACAGGACTCATCAGGAACTTGCCTTCCCAACTAGGGCCTGATTCACTGCCAGGTTTTCATCATGATTCAATCCATCAGGCATCAACTGCTTTCTCTGCCATGGAGGCTCTTCAGAGGAAATTGCTTATAATGCTTCTCATATTGCTAAAATCAAGACCTAGTATGACTTTTCTTTAGTCTTACCTTGTAGTTCACAGAGAACATAGCTCATTGTATATATCTTACTATTAGTATTCTATTATCATCATATTAAATACTTTAGTTCAGTGATTGTCGTCTAGCTACACTGTGAGATCCTTAAGCCCAGGAAATTGTCTCCCTCTTTCTGACACAAAGTGTAGGTGCTTAATTATTTTATAGTAAAGAAATAAAGGCAATCTACTGACAACTTCTTCCTGTAGTTGGCCATGATTCCATTTTCTAACTTTCCTGGAACTCCCAAAGTTCTTTTTTATGTCTAATCCTGGTCCTCCAGCATTTTTCAAAGTAGTTCTTTGAGCTTGTACACTGTAACTACTCCCAAATTACCTTTGATTATGTTGGCCAGAGTTAGTTTCTGATGTTTTTAGTCAAGGATGCTGACAGACACATTGTAGCAAGGATCAAGCTGAATTAGAAAACTCAATTAAATGACGCCAAACAAACAAAAAATGAAGTGATCAGTATGGCCGGACAAAATACTTAACTGTAAGACATTTTATTTAATAGAAAATGTCAACTAGGACCTCTCTGTCTCTTGACATCTGGGGAAAATTGACTGGAGTCCCTCAATTCTACAGCTTGTGGAAGTCTAAAGCCTTCTTTCAGATTTCTGAAATCTCCCTAGGGCATTTATAATCTCCTGCCATCCTGTTCCTTTTGGGTGTCCTATCTCACATGGGCTTCCTCTCTTCCGAACCACATTTACCAATACAGGAATGTCAGACATCTCAGCAATGTATACATAGACCCACACACGCACATTCACATGCACATACGTATTGAAATAAAATATTTATCATATAAGAGAAAGCAATGCAGTTTTATGACCTTGAGAAAGTTATTTAACCTCCTTGAGTCTTAGTTGACACACATTGTAAAATAGGGATAATAAGGATATGTATCTTGTAGGACTGTGTTAAAAATTAAATGGGATAATACCAGTTTCTACCCCATGCTGAGCTCACACATTCAACAAAAGAAACGTTCAACACTAATTCATATCCAAACTAGAAAATTTTCCTGAAGGACTGGGTCCTTGGAGAAGTCAGCGCACATATCCTATTTAAGAAAAAACCAAAAAGTTATGCAACTGTACTCTCAAAGTCCCCTACAACTAATGTTTTGCCCCTTCCCAAACAGAGCCCAGATTCTCCCTTTCTGAATCATCTCTCCTCCAAACTCCTTCCTTTTCCATTCATTTTCTTCTATCTTCAGAGCAAGTAAAAGGATTCTTTTCCTGGGCTAAAAATCCAGACTTTTCAGTTTCACCTTATGTAGGCACTTTTCCAAGTGGGGACATCCCTTACCAAAGAAGAATTTCTGGTTCATGCTTTTAAAATGACAAAATTTACCCTTGCTAATTACACCTAGAACATGGGTGTCTAGACTTTAGTCATTTGCGTAAAGCCCTTGTGATTTTTTTAACAGTCCTTTATTAATTAATATAAAAATGCATATTTTTAAAAAGAAACTGACATTTCATTTTAAATAAATTAATCATGTAAGGAAATATTTTTCACTATTTTAAGTGGCAGAATAGTATTACTCATCCTCAGGAGGTAACCTCAAAGTAAGCATTTAATTTTAAAATAAAAATACTGTTGGTATACCACCTAAATTCATTATGTATTCCTAACAATTCATGCATCACAATTTGGTAAATGTCAGCCATATAATCTTTTATTATGGACATTCAGAGGCTGTACGGAGAGGACATGAGTGGAAAGTCTGTGGCATTTGCCTGTTAATAATATTGTGGATAGAGGGGGGAGTGGGTGAGGAGGAACATATGTTGATGGGATCTGGTTAGAAAACTGACAGAGAGGATGGTCCAGAGACAAGATTCTGGGGCATGATATCATCTCGTATCCTGTACTATTGTTCCACAGCACCCAGAAGAATGGCTAATGTCCATTTAATCAAATTGTGTTCTGCTCTTAGAATCTAATGCTGCTATAAATAAATGTTTAAAAGCTAGAAATATTACAGATCATAATATCTGAATTATTCCCCCAAAAGTACATTTTGACCAACTGATCCAGTTTGATACAGTGTCGGAAATTTAAAACAATTTTATAACGTGTCACCATTGACATTGCTCACTCTGGCTTTTTCATTAATAAAAATAAAATTGAGATTCTCTGCATTTCACTCTGCTTTCTCTGGGCAAAGAATTTCACAAACTTTTAGAGGAAAATTAAAGACCTGGCACCAGCCTAAATAATCTATGTTAAAGTCCTAAGACTCTGAACCAAGTCAGTACATCTGGGAAATAACAAAGTCCACACACTTTTATTGAGAGTGTAAAATGTTTTATTGCTAAAAATACAGCCTTTTTGCATATCTATATGTATTAGAACATAACCTTGTTTGAAATATATATATTACAACAATGACAAACTAATCAACATCTCTTTGTTAAGTACCCACCATGTACCAGGGATTTTGCCAGGGATCATGAAACACATTCTACCCTCAAGGAATTCCCTGGTTGGGGTGATAGTACATCTTGGCAACTCAAGTCATATTACACTAGAGTTTCTGTCAAGATATTTGACAGTTCCTTTTGTGATAGTTTCCTACTATGTCAAACACAGAGGCACAAGGCCCCTGATCTATACCTGAAATATATTTTTCTAGAGGTCTCAAGTGAATGAAAAACAGTTCCTGTGATTACAGAAAGAATATAATTTTTAGGATGTATTCCAGCTACTGATATCTATGAATAATTCTCAGTCTCAAATGCCAATTCATAACGTTTAGGCCTTATTGAATACACTTTTCTTTGTACTATTTGATTGTGCCAAATAAAGCAAGTCTTTTCTAAAAGAAAATCTTCTCTAGGAGTCGGATTATAATTTCATCTCCAAGGATTGCAGAAAATTACAGAAAAAAAAATCAGAACTAAAGAAAACCATTTAGCTTTATGTAACTATACCATGCAACCATTATGTCACATAATATAATAACCTAGTTGAGAAAAGAAGTGGACAAACTAGACCTGCTATAAAAAGCAACTTGAATTTGTCTCAAGTTTAGATGTACAGATAGATATTCTTAAGCTATTTTTACCCCTACTTAAATACATCTTTCTTCCTATTACAGAGATGAATATCTATTTTCAAACACCATCTCCATAATGCAGACTTTTAATATAGGAAGTTGGAAATATTTACAGCCATATTACATTTTTCATTTAAACAGAAATTCCAAAACACTAATAATCAAACAGTACCATGAACATGATTATATATGAAACATCAAAGAAAATCCACATCCGTTAACTTTATAACTCTAAAACAACAAATTTTTAAAGACTTCATAGCAGAAATGTTCACAATTTACAACACAGTACGTACAGAAAGGTAACATACCTCACATTAGCATCAAATTTGTCCATTACAGGAAATAAGCATGAGTGAGTTGGATTTCGGTGCCCACAGGGTCCTAAAATGGGGGAAGTGAAAAAGATGTTAAAAAAGAAAGTACCATTGAAAAATAGAAGTCCTTGTTTTAAAAAAGTCAAGTAATTATTGCTTCCTATTAAGACTTGTTTTGTAGAAATATTTAATAAATAGTACTAAAGCAAAAAGCTTTTGGCATATGGACGTATGGAACAGCTGAGTGTCACAAAAGGTTTCTTTACATCCTACTGATTGCTTGGTGATTAAAACATATGGGTGTTTCTTTTTGCTCCAATTATTGTTATTTTTGTTCTTCCCAGAAACGTGGCTTATTTTTATGATCTGCGTTAGGATAGTAACTAGTGAAGATAGGCAGCTACATTCTTATGCTTAAAATAGTATATTGCCCAAAATCGCCAGTCATTTTGTTCCTATGAGGATTTTCAAAGAAAAAAAAAAAGGTTTAAACCATTTTAAGGGTAGGAAATCACAGATTCTTTTGAGAATCTAGTAAACTCTTGAGAACTGTCTGCCTAGAAAAAAATAGATATACATGCACACACATGCACAATTTCTAGACAGTCCATGGTTCCTTGAACTCAGGAATCCAGGAATCCCAGGCCCATCCAGGAACCCCAGGCTAAGAATTCCCAATTGAAAAAGAGTTAACTTTGAATTACCAAAGTTCCTCTATCACAGACCCTCAGAAGACCTCATACTCTTTAATGGATGGGCATTCACTGATCTCCACAAAATCAACCCTCTTAACTGATTGTTCAGTTCCATTTTTGCAAAGAATTTTTATATCTTCCTCACATCTGTTCCACAGCATGATGAATCAGTGAGTGTAGGGGCAGGACCCAGCTGTCTCTTCCAGGGTCACCATGAGCATGTTTCTTTTTCTTCTGAGCAGCATCATTCACTTCTCAGTAAAGAGAAGAGATTGGAAAAAAATAATCTCTGAGTTAACTCTTAGCTCTGATAGTCTATAGTTGTGTTTGCTAGTTTTCTAATTGAATCTTACCAAGAGGCAACTTGAAATCTGTTTATCTACATAACAGAACCACGAAACTCAGCCTGGACCCTTGGACACCTTGGCCAGGGTGAGCTAAACAGATGTGGCTGGCAGCCAGGAAGAGAATGGCAGATCACAAGATCTGAAAAGGACCTTGACTCTCAGTGTTTTCCAATGTTTGTTTCTTAGATCCTCTAAACTTAACAGGAGCCCCCATGGTCATTTCTGGGCCTGGAGCAGACATGGGGAAGGCTCCACCTGCAGGAATCTGAGCCCCCTCCCCTAATCTGAAGCAAAGTAGCTCGGTCCACATCTATCTGTTTTGTATTTTGAATGTAGAATAATATTTTGCTGGAAATATACAAGTACAAAGCCCTAACTATTGAAGTGATGGGGTTCAATTCTCTTTCCTCATCTATCTAAAATGTTTCCTGAGATGATCGCATCCATCTGGTAGCTGAAAATGCCGTACAATTACAATACTATTCACTGTAGACTCCCAAAATTGTATCCCTACTTTGAGACTTTCCCAGACATAGACAGTGACCATCCAGCATCTCAAGATGGATGATTATAAAGCATTTCAACCTAAACTCTTCCTTTCTCATCTCCAACACAAAAACCTGCTCTCTCCCAGTGTTCTTCATCTCAGTAAATGGCCCACCATCTACCCAGTGATTCAGACCAAAAAAACTTCTTCTCATACCCTAAGACCAAACCATCAGCAAACTCATTCTGATGATTCCTGGCCGGGGGTGGTGGCTCATGCCTGTAATCCTAACACTTTGGGAGGCCTAGGTGAGCGGATTGCTTGAGCCCAGGAGTTTGAGACCAGCCTGGGCAACATGGCAAAACCCCGTCTCTACAAAAAATTAGCTGGGTGTGGTGACATATGCCTGTAGCCCCAGCTACCTGGGGGGCTGAGGTGGGAGGATCACCTGAGCCCAGGAGATGGAGGCTGCTGTGAGCCAAGATCATGCTACTGCACTCCAGCCTGGGTGACAAAGTGAGACCCTGTCTCAAGAAAAAAGAATGAAAGAAAAAAAGTAAAAGAAAGAAAGAAAATTATTCCTACACCTGACCCTTCTCATCACCTCTGGACCCAGCACCTGGGGCCAAGCCCCCAAGTTCTTTCTCTGAAATACTCACCCACATCTCCAATCTGTCTCCTGCCAGAATGATATTTTTAAAATGTAAGTCAGGTCATTTTTTGCTTGCATAAAATTCTAGTGGCTTCCTATCATGCTTAGAATACAATCCAAATTCCTTATCATAGCTAACCAGACCTTACATGGTCTGGCCCCCACTCTTCTCCAAACTCAACTGTAGCCATGCCCCTCCCCTTCCCTGCCCACCAACTCACTGGTTTTACTGCTTTCCTGGGCCATAATTGTAGGTTCCCACCTCGGGGCCTTTTCACTTTGTCTCTTTTCCCTGGAATGTGACCATGTAGATTACTCTCTCACTTCCTTAGGGGTGCTGCTCAAATATCACTTCCTCAGACAGGTCTTCTCCCAACACCTAACTACAATTTCACACCCCATTTTCTAAAAATGTCTATCCTCTTTCTCTGTTCTATTTTTCCTTCTCAGTATATACATATATAGTCAATTGCTTCTTTATTTGTGATCTGTCTTGCTCACTAGAATATACATTTCAGGAGGGCATAGGACGCTGTCTTGATCACTGTGACATCCTCAGTGCCCTAGAGAATTGCCTGGTATATTGTATCCTCATCGTAGATATTTATTGAGTCAACTAAGTGGTTCATTAGTTTTGCAAATGAGAAAACTGAGGCTTAGGAGTTTTTGACTTCCACACTAAGAGGAAGGGGACCATCCCAGAATACAATATTGTAATTTAAAGAATAGCAAAAGTGTTATATCTTAATTAGTTACCCTTTACAATGTGTTAATAAGTGCCAGACATTGCCCTTTTTCTCCTCCTCCAACTTTTGAGTCCAACCTCTAAGTCCAACCTCCATCCTATAGATGAAGAAGCTGAGGGTCAGAGAGGTTAACTGAATTGCTGAAGTCATACACAGCAGCACTTGACCAATCTGGGAATAGAATTCAGGGCTATGAATTCCAAAACTTGAGCTTTAGCTTACATCATTCTTGTCATCTTATTATATGTCCTCCCACTGGAGCAAGAGAGTATCCTGATGAAAGTGAACATTTACCGTAATTTTCTGCTGTCCATCCATCTATTTCATCTTTCTCTGAGAATAATGTCTTGATTTTCCTTACTGAAACCAACCCTTCCCTCCTCTAATACCTAGCTCCAGTGATGAACACATAAGCAGGGCTGGTCAATCAGAATCGTCCATTCCTGGCAACAAGAATCACTTAGCTTACTGGCTGGACCAGGGAAAGCAAGGCCTAGAATTTTTGCTAGAAAGAGCCTATCTTTCCTCTGGTGTTGTCAGACAGTTCGAAGCTGTTGGTGGCCATCATTGCCACCCCATGGGAGGAGGCTGTCTGAGAAGAAAACTAAACCAAAGGAAGGCAGGGCTGCAATACAGGGAATGCCAGTGTCCTGACTACATAATTTGAGGCTTCCAGCAGTGTCTTAAGAAAATTTTACACTTCAGTGTCCTAATTACTAGAGCCAACAAATTCTTTTTCCCTCCTTAAGCCAGTTTCAGTCAGCAAGCAAATGAATGCTGAGTAATATACAATAAAATCAATATTGTATTGTTTTACAGAGTAAAGGGAAGAAAAGCTGGGTAGTTGCAGCTTTAAAAGACGTTAAAACCTAAAGTTTATATCATTAAAACTGCATATGCAAATGTTACAACACAAGGAAAATCTTATATATTCATAGCGTATACATTGTTACATTTTTTGCACTGAAACCCAATGAGCAAATTTAAAATGATTGCCTTTTAACAAACCAGTGAGATAGCATGCATTTTGTTAGAGAAAAAGGAACAGAGGAAGGAGGAGTTCATGATTAGTACCTATCCTAATTTGATTAATTGATTATGCCCGACTATTTTCTGCAGGGCTCACCAGGGAGAATTAATCACAGCCATGATTATAGGAACATCTCTTGCTGGGAAGATTGCATAGGGTGAGGGGGATGTGGAAGGAACCAGTGCTTTTATCTTGAATGCTTATATTTCTGGCTTCTTCACAAAACACTGCCTAGCTAATTAAAAATACAATCAACTCAGAGCATCTCCTATGCTCAGGTACAAGTTGTGTCACTTCTAAAAATTCTGCCAATTCAAATCCATTAAGACCTGGTGTGTGTGTGTGGGGGGGTGTGAGTGTGTTATAATGACAGTCACGCTGTACCCTACCATCTGGGCTAAGGGACAAGAAATGATACCCTCCATACTAATCTGCTTCGGAGAGACTGTCCTAGATCATCGGAAAAAGATCATGGCAAGTTCTGGAAAAGGGATGGGCAAGGAGTCAAGCAAACCCTTCTACCATGTGAGGTACAAATGCGTGTCTCAATAGTCTCTCAAGACCAAGCTTGACAAGCTCAAACCACTGGAATTACTTAAAACATTTCATCCATCATAAAAGTAAAATTGCAGCAACATGTAACTCCATCAGATTCCCTTAAGCTTCTTTTTCTTGATGGATATATTCAGAATCTGATTTTTCCTTATAATACTAGGAGAAGGAGGAAGAGCTTACCTTATTTATGCCACTCAATACCATTCCAACCCTTGGTTTTCTGGCTTTACAAGTTTTAAGGGCAAGCCCCAAAGGTAAGTGCATCCCATCTTTACCCTTGTTTTTGATTCAGAGTTCTCTGAAATATTGCTGTGGAACAGTCGTTAATGGTTAACAGAAGGTGTGTAGTTGCATCTCTGTTATAAGAAGTGTGAGCACAGGGTTCACATGTGAATAGTCCCCACCTATTGGAATGAAATATCGATGTAGTTTGGTACGGTGCCAACATCTGCAAACCTGGAGATATGTAGTAACCTCACCTTGCTTTTCTCCGCTTTATTCTGTTTTCTCTGGTTTTGGTTGCATGGATGGATATTCATGCATAACTAT